AAAAAAAAAAAAAAAAAGAAATTACTGATGACTTTCTTTGTACCTCTGGTAATGTGAGCCCCCTGCCCCATTGCTGTGAATTGTGGTAACCCCAAGATGTTTTTTTTACTCTCCTCCTGCATGTTTTGCAGATGTATGTCTAAGAAAGAGAGCTTTGCTCCCGGTACTGTGTACAAACCCTTTGGGAAGGAAGCAGCTGGGACCATGACTTTGTCCCAATTCCAGACACTGCATGAAAAGGACCAGGAAACTGCTTCTCTCAGGGAACTAGGGCTTAATGAAACAGAAATCTTGATCTGGAAGAGCCATATTTCGGGTGAAAAGGTGAGTGGAGCAACATTTTCTTCCTTGAGAACACAGCAGGATCTTTTCATTTTGGCATTGAGGACCTTTTCACCTTGGGTTCTCACAAAACTAAGTTTTGTATATGAATCTTCTTTGATTTTTAGCATAAGGACATTGGTAACAGAAAAACTGTTCCTTGACTCTTAGCTAACGTTTTCTATAAAGCGTTCATTTCTAGGCCCTAATCATTATCTTTCTTACTTGAGGCATCAGATAACCACTTTCAGGGTGTATCATGTATGACATGGGCCATCTCATTTCTCTGATTTTAGAAAACAGGACTGAGGGCAACTCCTGAAGCAATACAGAACCGTCTTCAAGATATTAAAGAAAGGATCTCAGAGCGTCAGCGCATCCTTTGCCTGCCCCAGAGATTTGCAAAGAGCAAACAGCTCACTCGACGAGAAATGGAAATAGAAAAGTCTTTATTTCAGGGAGCTGATCGTCACTCTTTCCTTAAAGCTCTTTATTACCAAGGTATGTGATCCCCACTGACTTTGATGCATTGTTTTACTGAGAGAAAGATTTAACAGCAGAGAATTAAATGTGAAGAGTTAGTGAAGGGAGCAGGAGAAAGACAAACTGTCACTACTCTTGAAGAATGTACAGTCCCCTGAGAGAGACAAATATGTACACAGTTGCATGTCAACATGAAAATTGCTGTTAGAGATTTGAATAAAATGCTGAGGGAGTACAGAACATAGAGCATCCGAGTCTCGTTGGGAAAGTCAGAAGTTGACATTACTATTAAGTCTTGTTGGATTAGCACATATTTGTCAAATAAATAAAGGGAAAGGGAATTAAAGATATTGAGTGAATAGGAACAGGATTGTGAAAAAACCTGGTGTGTCTAAGGAATAACGAGAGGTTTAATGTGGCAGGAATACAGGGCATGGCAGGGAATGACAGGAGATGACACGGAAAAAGGTATACATTGTGAACGATCTTTAGGCTGAACTGTGAATTAACACAAAATGTATAGGTAAATAAATACTATGTGTCTTAACCGGAAAGAAATAGTTTAACAGATAAGTTTTATTAGGCACTGTGGAAGGTGTACAGAAGTTTATGAAATGGTTCCTGACCTTGTGCCAAGTACAGTCTGGTTGCAGAGGAAAACGTGTAACATTCAGTAGCAATGCTAGATACAGTTGCTAAGTGCTGTTGGAGTTCAGAGGAGGGAAAGGCCACTGTGTATTGGTGTGGGTGAAGAAGACCTCCCAGAGGAGGTAAGATTTAAAGATTCTGGCTCGGCGCCTATGGCTCAAGTGGCTAAGGCGCCAGCCACATACACCTAAGGTAGCGGGTTCGAATCCCCAGCCTGGGCCCGCCAAACAACAATGATGGCTGCAACCAAAAAATGGCCAGGCGTTATGGTGGGCGCCTGTAGTCCCAGCTACTTGGGAGGCTGAGGCAGGAGACTCGCTTGAGCCCAGGAGTTGGAGGTTGCTGTGAGCGTGATGCCATGGCACTCTACCCAGGGGGACAGCTTGAGGCTCCGTCTCAACAACAACAACAACAAAAAAAAAAAAAAAAAAAAGATTTAAAGATTCTTTTAATACTACCTGTTCTTTAGAAAGAAAAGGGAATGGTCTTTCAATTGTGAGCACTATGGAGTGTTTGGGGGAGTTGTGAGAAACAAGGTTAGAAAGGTAGCTAAGATTATTAACTTTATTTGGTGGGTAGTATAGACCTATACAACATTAGTTATTTGGTGAGTCAGTTAATTTGAATGTAATTAAAGGTTTTTGAGCTGGGAGTAGCATGATAAAAGCCATATTTGAAAATGATTAATCTGGTGGCCAATAAATAGGATTGGAGAGAGGAAGAACTGGAAGCAGAGAGAATGGAAAGGAGGTATTACGGTCATTAGGCATGAAGATCTGGACTAGAATGATGGCAGTGGAATTGGAAAGAAAGGTAACTTTACTTATAAGAGATATTACAAAGGAAGAATTGATCAATTTGTTGAGTAGGAATGCAGGAGGACGATCATTGGAGAGGAATGTGTCAAAGATAATCTAGATGTTTCAAGGCCGTGTAACTTAACGATTGACAAAATTAAGCTTTTATGGGGAAATTTTGAGGAAGGATGCTAAATTTCATTTTGAATATGTCGTCCAGAATGCCAGGATCATTAAATGCACATATTGAGGAGACAGTTAAAAATGCAGTAGTAAAGCTCAGGAGAGAAGTCAGAACTAGGTCGAATTGGGAATCATCTATGTATAGACGATAGCATGATAATGTTCAAATGATTTGTTAGAGACAGAAAGACCATACACATGGCAGAGCAGGGGTAAAGGAAGGAAGGAATGAACAAATGAAGTCTTTTTTACAGAGATATTACAGCATGTTGCTTAAGAACGTGACCTCTGTAAGCAGACTGCTGGGAAAATCCTGGTTCCCTCACTAGCAATGAGATGCTGGGCAGTTTCTTCATCTGTAAAATGAAAATATTAACAGTACCTATATTATGGGCTCGTTAGGAAGATTAAGTGAGGTAATACATGTAAATCACTTAGAGCAGTACCTGGTATCTGGGGTGGTGGGGTGGATGGTGTATGAATCTGTTCTGTTTCCTATCTTTGAAACTCCTTGCTTTAAACCTTCACAGCATACCACAAAAAGACAAATGCAGACAAGTACATGACCTCAATGAAGAGGAAGATAAAATTAGGCACAAAAGGCAAGTCGAGAGTTTTCTTACAGTGTTAGATTTAGGAATGTAACCTAGGGTCCCAGACTTCTAAGTTGAGCTCTTATTGAATTCCAGTATATGAGAATGTTTATAGGAAATGATCCAGAGGGAGCATATTATCATAATACAGAATATTAAAGAGAAGAGTTAGTAGAAGTTGTAAAGCTTTTACATTTAGTGTTGTTTTTTTCTATACCTTTGAGTTATTGTACCACACATAAATTGACTTTAATGATCTTTAGATACTATTTCACAAATAATTCTGAATATTTTTATTAAACAGCAAAGTATAATTATTTATGATGATGACAGTGATAATAGCTCATATTTAGTTTTTGAAATGAATTTACAATAAAATTGCATGCGTTTTTTGGTGTACAATTTTGTGGATTGTAAATCATATAGATTCATGTAACCACCACCACAATCAAGATAGAGAACAGCTCCATTACCGTGAAACTCACTCATACTGTCCCCTTATATTTGCTCTCAACCTCCACCCATATTCTCTGGCAATCACTGATCTGTTCTCTATCACAATAGTTTCTATCTTTTAGAGAATGTCTTATTAATGGAATCATACAATATGTAACCTTGTGAGACTGGCTTCTTTTTCACTCAGCCTAATGCCTTTGAGAGTCATCCAAGTTGTGTGTATCACTAGTTCATTTATTTTGCTGAACAGCTTTTCATTGTATGGGCATCCCAAAGTTTGTTTATCCTTTCACCCATTAAAATGCATTTGGGTTGTTTCCAGGTTATGGTGGTTATGGATAATATTGATGTGAACATTCTTGTACATATTTTTATGTGAACATAAGTTTTTATTTCTCTAAGGTAAATATCTAGAAGTGAGATTACTGGTCATATGGTAAGTGTACATTTAACTTTATATGAAACTGCCAAACCATTTCCAGAGTGGCTGTACCATTTTGCATTCCCACCAGCAATGTATGAGAGTTCTATTTGCTCTACATCTTTGTCAGCACTTGGTATTGTCGGTATTTATTTTTGGTTATTTTAATAGGTGTGAAGTGGTACCTCATTGTAGTTTTAATTTTCATCTCCTTACTGGCTAATAATGTTGAACATCTTTTCATGTGCTTATTTGCCATCCTTATATCCTGTTTGCTAAAGTGTCTGTTCAAATATGTTGCTGTTTTATAATTGGGTTGATTATTATCTTCCTGATGACTTTTGAGAATTATATATGTATTCTAAACACAATCTTCTGTTAGATATGTGATTTATAAATGTTCTTCCCCAGTCTATAGCTTATCCTTTCATTCTCTTCACAGTGTCTTTTGTAGAGCAAACCTTTTTATTATGGTAATATATATATATAATATACAATTTACCATTTTAACCATTTTAAGTGTATAGTTCTGTGTCATTAAGTACATTCACATTGTTCTGCAACTATTGTCACCATACACCTCCAGAAATTTTTCATCTTCCCAAACTGAAATTCTGTACCCATCAAACACTAACTCCCCATTTCCCCCTCCCCTGTCCCTTGACAACCACCATTCTACATTCTGTCTTATGAATTCAACTACTATAGGCCATTCACAGTCGGAGTCTAGTAAGTGGCATCATACAATACTTGTCCTTTTGTGATTGGCTTATTTTAGTTAGCATAATGTCTTCCAGTTTCATCTAGGTTGCAGCATGTGTCAGAATTTCCTTCCTTTTACGGATGAATATTTCATTGTATGTGTATACCACACTTTGTTTATACATTGGTGGACACTTAGATTGCTTAGATTACTGTGAATAATGCTACTATGAACATGAGTACACAAACATCTATTTGAGTACCTGCTTTGAATTCTTTTGGGTATGTACACAGAAGTGGAATTGCTGATTCATATGGTAATTCTATATTTAATGTTTTGAGTAACGTTCTTATCATTTTCCATAGAGACTATACCATTTTATGTTACTATCGGCAGTGTACAAAGGCTCCAATTTCTCCGCACTCTTGGTAACATTATTTTCTGTTTTCTCAATAATAGCCATCTTTAATGGATGTGAAGTATTATCTTATTGTGTTTGATTTGAATTTCCCTAGTAATTAGTGCTGTTAAGCATTTCATATGCTATTTGGCCATTTGTATATCTTTTTTTGATAAAATGTCTGTTCACTTGCCCATTTTGTTAAATGAGCTATTTATTTGTTGTTGAGTTGTAAAAGTTCTATGTATTGGTATGATCTCCTTATGAGATATATTATGTCCAAATATTTTCTTCCATTCCAGGGGTTGTCTTTTCACTTTGTGCATAGTGTCCTTTGATGCACGAAGTTTGAATTTTGATGAATTCCAGTTTGTCTACTTTTATTTTTGTGGTCTTTGCTTTTGGTGTTATAGCCAAGAAATAATTACCAAATCTAATGCAATAAAGCTTTTTCTGTATGTGATCTTCTAAGAGTTTTATAGTTTTAGCTATTACATTTAGGCCTTTGATCCACTTTGACTTAATTTGTATATATGATATAAAGATCCAACTTCATGTTTTTACATGTTGATATCCAGTACCACTTGTTGAAAAGACTGTTCTTTACATACTGAATGATCTTGGCACCCTACTTAAAAATCATTTGACCATCTACATTTGCCCTTATGCCACTACAACAGTATTTTAATTACTGTAGCCTTGCTGTAAGTTTTGAAATCAGGAAATATATTTAACTGGAGTCTATTGATAAGGATTTATATCTGTCATTTTGCTTTTTGTTTTCTGTATGTCTTTTATCTTTTTTGTTCTTCTGTTC